GGTATAGGTTTTAGGTTTTAGGGGCTAAGGGTTTAGGCTTTAGGGCTTAGGGTTTAGGGTATCTTTAAGGGCAAGATGAACCAGACCCTGGAGGTGCGTGGTCCAAAGAGTTGCATCATACTTTAAGGTATCCCTAAACCCTAAACCCTAAACCCTAAACCTAAACCCTAAACCCTAAACCCTAAACCCTAAACCCTAAGCCCTAAGCCCTCAACCTTAAGTGAGGCAGTGAGGCTTTAAGTTTCACAGTGCGAGAGCGTTGCTCCGCGAACCTCTCGCTATTCTTCCTAGGATATTGGGCTTGTAAAAGGGGGGGGGGGGGGGGGGGGGGGGGGGGGGGGTATTTAGGGCTGAGGGTTCAGGGTTGAGGGTTTGGGGGGGGGGGGTGGGGGGTATTTAGGGTGCAGGGTTGGGGGTTTAGGGATCTCGTTCCCAAATTTCCGACTAACCACTAAGATCGGGCAAGACGTTTCCCCTCGGCTGCTGACTCACACGGAAATTTGCCAAGCAAGGGCCCTCCCCCCCCACTTGTTTTGGTCGACCCCCAAATAGCAGGAATCCCGCAGAACCAGGACCCCCAGTAAGGTAGCCTAAAGCCGAAACCCTAAACCCGAAGAACACCCACCCTGTGGGATAACAGGCCTGCTTGAGAGCTAGTTGAGCTCCGGAAGTTGCTGCAGTTCAAGTTCGGGAGTTGGGAGTTTAGGGTTTAGGGTTTAGGGTTCAGGGTTTAGGGTTTAGGGTTTAGGGTTTAGGGTTTAGGGTTTAGGGTTTAGGGTTTAGGCTCGGCGTCAGTTGCGGAGAACCGAGCTCAGACATCTGAGAGGCCGAGCCGGGGCCTCTGGAAGTTAGAGCTTCGGGTTCAAGCTTCCGGTTTCGCAACGTCGGCTTAGGAGGCGACAAGCTGGGATGTGTTGGGTTTGGGGGTTTAGGGTTTAGGGTTTAGGGTTTCGGGTTTAGGGTTTAGGGTTTAGGGTTTAGGGTTTAGGGGTTGGGCCCTCACATAGCGCACTGCTGGCACTCATCTGCAATCTTGAGCTACCCGCCATGACACCCGGCCAGGGCCGCGCCACCACTGTCATGACAACCCAAAACCCTAACCCTCAAATCAAGACTCGTACGCTGCTGGAGGATTGCTAGTTTCAAGACTTCTCAGGTTTCTGGCGAGGCATGAACTTGCCATTGTGCTCAGAATCGCGAACACCCGGCCGAAGTGAACTGGTGGCTGTTCTACAATGGGCTCCCTTATTGGGGGGGGGGGGGGGGGGGGGGGGGGGGGGGGCCTTCCTTGTTTAGGGTTTAGGGTTTAGCAAGGGTCCTGCCAACAAAGGTACTCTTAAGCGGATGCTAGTTTAGAACAGCCCCAGCTGGTTCTTCCACCCTAAACCCACAGACCGTGTGGCCATTGCCATGCAATGGTCAGCGGCCATGTGTCCGGCAAGGAAGTGAGAGCGCACTCCCGCCCGAAGCCCTTGTCGGGCTCAAGATATTTGGGTTTAGGGTTTAGGACTTAGGGTTTAGGGTTTAAGGTCTGGTTGTCAGAATCTCATCTGAGCCCTCAATGCTAAATCCTAGGCGAGGGGCCTGGTCTGTAGGCCACCACTGCTGTAACCCTCTGAGGTCGCATAGCTACCAGGCACAGCTTACGTTTCTAGTTTCCTGGGCGAGGTAAGGGTTCGAGTTGTATAGCGCTTCCACTACCCCCCCCCCCCCCCCCCCCCCCGGGATTCCGAACCCTCAGCTCTAAACCCCGACCCTTGAACCTAAACCCTTAAACCCTCACTTCTCAGAAACCCTTAAACCTTCAACACCTTAAACCTTTAAACCCCTCATCCCTACATTTCCTTGCCGACATCCGAAGTAAGGCTCAACGTGTGGAGCCGCGAGTCACGGCGAGAAGCGTCCTGGCCCTCCTGTTGTGCAGCGGTGTTGGGGTACTTGGGTTTAGGGTTTAGGGTTAGGGTTTAGGGTTTTAAAAGGGTTGAAGGGTTTATATAAGGGCTTCAGGGTTTAGGGCTCAGGGTTTAGGGCTCAAGAGTTTCGGCTTAAAGGGTTTGCAGGCTTAGGATACTTAGGGCTTTGGGGCTGTAGGGCTTGGGCTCAGAAACGACATTGGCAGGACGTAGGCTCGTCGGTTTCAGGTCCAGTTCGCTTAGAGTCTTTCACGCTGGAAGGACCCATACATCACTTGCATCAGGGTGCTGGAGGCGGAGAGATTGAAACGTCTATGGGTGGACTGGCTTTGCAACTGCAGGTCTGAAATCAAATCGGCAAACCTGTTTGCTCAGCAACTGTAAGCCCTCACCCGTAGACCCTAAACCCTAAATCTGGACTTGTGTGGGCTAGTAGAGCTTCTCGGCCCAAGAGAACCTAGGAATTTAAAAAAAAATGGTGCCCTTTTTGGTTTTAAAGGGGTTTTCAGTGGACCCTAAGAGCCCCAAACCCTAAACCCTAAACCCTAAACCCTAAACCCCAAACCCTAAACCCTAAACCCTAAACC